TTCTTGTTTTGTAAAAAAAATGTAAATATTCTACATCATTGAGTATCAGTTACATACTATTGAAGTTATGTATTTTGGAAAAATATATTTACATGTGAAGAATATCATCACAGATATTTTTCTGATATCATCACAAATATTCTACCATTAATTATTATTTATTTTGTTTTTCTCTGTGTTTGTTATTATGGATTTGGATCCTCTCCTTTTTTATATATCCTACAATCTCTCATGTTTCTAATCTAACGGTTCAGAATTTATAATGAATAATTAAATAAAAAAAGTCATTTAATAGGAGAGAGAAATGAATAAGTAATTTGTCTTTGTTATTTTTGGATAAGTCATTTAATTATTCATTATAAATTATGTACCGTTAGATTAGAAACATGAGAGATGGCAGGATATATAAAAAACGAGAGGATCCAAATCCTGTTATTATAGTATTTTGGTTAGCACTCATGCTTTTACGGAATAAGGAGATATTTTTTTGATAATTTTTTGTTCAAAATCTCCTTATTCCGTAAAAGCATGAGTGCTAACCAAAATACAGACTAAAAATCAAATGATCCAGTTTTAATCATAAATTTGTGTCGATTAATCGAAAATAACCTATCACGATCCCAAAGTACAGAAAATGATCCCAATAATTTATCTCATTTTCAGCTTAATTTCTCTTTTTCATTTTCGATTTCTTTTTTGGTCGATGAAGAAACCAAAAATCACTATTATCAATTTATTATCAAAACGGTGATTTAAATGAGACCACACTTTTTTTCTTTTTCATTTTCTTCTCCATTCTTTTCATTTCAATTTTATTTCATATTTTGATCGATGAAGTCTTTAGATTCGTAAACTTTGATTTATCGAGATTGATAACCTTCATTATGTCAAATATGTAGAAAATGATTATTGAGATCATTTTCTGTACTTTGGAATTGTGATAGGCTATCTTCGGTTAATCGACACAAATTTATAATTAAGACGAAATCATTTGCTTTTTAGTCTGTGTGACACGATTACATTGTAGAATGGTCCTCAATTTATAAATTTACCTTTTGTATTATTGTTGTTGTTCTGGACTGGGTCGAGGTTTGATCCACAATCGAGTAGGTCCAAACCCCACAAACGTTGGGCCCAATAGGACCACACTGACGAGAAGGATCCCGTCAGGCACAACGTTCCTCCCACGTCGGGCATCGGTCCTCAACTGTCGAGCATACCCTCCCAGTCGACTACTAGTCCTATCTCCCCTTTCGTCGGGCAAACCCAGTCTGCCCGGGGAGCTCCTCGAGCCTCCCCACGTTCTCCACGTGTCCCTCACGCAGGGACCCGTCATGAAGTAACTACCCACGTCCTGGAGATTCGGTCTTCCTCCTCACGGATAGTGCGGAACAGTTACCCTAGGGCGAAGACCACGTGCTGGTCTTCACGACGCCACGTCAGTCATATCAGTTACTAATGCTGGGCCTGGCAGCCAACCCAATGCTATGTAACCGTTGGCCCTGCGCTGGGGGCTCATTATAAATACTCTCTTCACTAGAGGGTCAGGTAACTTAACTTTCTTACTCTCTCTCTTTGTACTTGCTTCCACTCTGCCCGTCGCTTACTTTGACATCAGTGTGTGTTTCAGTTACACCCCCTCCTCTTCCACACTTTTGGTGAACAACTTCCAGATCGGCGACGGTGGCAGATCACCAGATCGACGACGCGTGGCAAATCACCGATCCCCTTCTGATCAAGTACGATCAATTGTTATGAAATAAATTAAAAGATTAAACAATGACAATCAATCTCCCTTCTTATTTTATTTTTCTATCCGTAAATATTCTTCTTATAGAAAAATATTACAAATTACTGGATAAAAAAATATTCAATAATTGTTAGTTTATTATTACCATTATTATCATGTTTCTTTTTAATAAAGTGACAATAAATAAATTTTATAAGATTTAATTTATCACAAGTTTTATTATTATGTTTTAGAGGTAGCAGTATTTTTATTATTATCACATTTTTCTTCTTTTCTTTTAGTAATTTAATTTTGATTTTTTTATAAAGTTTAAACTAATTTTATTGATGTTTTTTATAGGAAAACAAACAACTTATTTATTACTGATAATATTAAATGATTATAAATTTCATTTATATGTAAGTGTTACTTTTTTTAATACTTTTATTATGTTTATGTTTTTGAAAACTGTTATATTTTTTTTAAATATGTGGTTTTTTTATTGAGTTATGTGGTATATATATTTTTAGGTGTATCATAATAGATGTAGTATATCACTTCTATATGCACAGTCACATCAATTCAAACATATACAAAATTAATTTTACTTTGCATGATATAATTGAAATGAATAACTCTCTACCATGACGTATTTTATTTTTTTATTTTAAAATTATAATATATTTCTTATAATTAAAAATACTATAACATATGAAAATATAATTAATGATATTAAAATTTATATTGATGATAAATTAAAAAATTATATTGTATCGTTTTTATTTATAATAGTTTCAATTAAACTATCATTTCATTTATAAAATTTTAAATAAATTAGTTCATTCACATATGATCATTATTACAATTTATTTTTTATAAAAAGAGAAATTTTAATATAATCATTTTAAATGAATATTAATTTACATTTAAATTAGTATTTCATGTTTAAAAATTAACTTCAATGTATTAAATTTTTATAATGACGAAAAATAATTTAAATTTGTTAGTTAATCTTTTTTTAATAATTTATTAGTTTAGAAAAATCACAATTCTTAATTAAAATAAATTAAAAATTATACGTGAAAATGTATGTCTTGAACAAAATATATCATAATTATTTGAATGTGGATGCTCTTATGTAACAATTTTGTATTATCAATCTCTTCATTCGTTATTAATAACATGTTTTTTACCATATTATATTGTGTTTTTGCTATCTTGATAGAATAACATGTTTTTTCTTTTGTTGTATATTGCTTACTGAATTTATATGGATCCGATTAAAAATATGCTTTTAACTTCAATATCTTTAGATATCTTATGTAATATTTTTCTGTTATCATTCTGGTTTACTAACATTATGATACTAATTAATTTATAATTAGTTATAACTGGATCTTAAAAAAAAAAAAAGAGAATGTTTAATTAAAATTTATATAGGGAACAACAAGTATACAATTGATTCAAAAAAATTATAAATAATATCAAACTGAAAATAAAAAAAATTATAAATAATGCCAAGGAAAAAAATATAATATTGATTAAAATATTTTTATATACAAAATTAATTATAGGCACATACTTATCACCTCTTTTAAAAATAATAAATTCTTTTGTTAAGTAATTTTATTTTTATTTTATTTTTATTATATTTTGAAAACAAATGAGCAAATACACGGTTACCCGCGCGACCGCGCGAATATCTAGATCAGAATTTATGCAAATTCACATGTTTTTACATTTTTTTGTATAATTAAAAAAATAAAAATAAAAATATTTAAAATAATGTATAAATTCAAACACAGAAAAAATATATTATTTTTTAAATTATTTTTATTACTAATAATTTTATTTTAAAATTATTTTAATTTAAGATACAATATTTATTAAGAAAATAAATGGAATGTGAGCTATGTATTATTGATATAATAATTTGACTAATACATGAGCAATTTTGTTTTTCTTTCTATTCATTCTTATTATATTTTAAAAACAAATGTGCATAACTCATCGGCACCGATACGAACACACATGTATTCAGACCAGAATCTATGCGAATACACAAGTTATTACAGCTTTTGCACAATTAAAGAAAATAAATGTAAATATATTTAAAATAATGTATGAATTCAAACACGAACACAATGTATTTATTTTTTTTACTAATATTTATTTATACAATTAAAATAATATTAGTTGATATTTATAAAACTAAATTATAGCATAAATATTTTTATAAAAAATGTCAAAACAAAATTAATATTTACATACGAAAAATATATGGTTGATCCAAATATTTATTTATATGAAAAAACTATATTTATGCTCTAAATATAAATAAAAATATGTTTTTCTTTTTAAAATAATAAACTTTCTTGGTTAAATAATTTTGTCTTTCTATTTTTTCATTCTTAATACATTTTAGAAACAAATGCGCGTCACACACCAGCACCCGTGCAAATTCACAAGTATCACACCAGTACCCGTGCAAATTCATAGGTATCTAGAACAAAATCCGTGCGAACCCATCCATTGTTATATTTATTTTGTACGATTAAAGAAAATAAAATTAAATATATTTAAAATATTCTATGAATCCAAATAAGGAAAACATGTGCTTTTTATTATTATTTATGTTACTAATATGAAAAAGTGATCTATATATTATTGACGTAATCATTTTACTAATATATGTTATTAAGCGAAAATGTTATTTTTAAATTAATAAGTGGATCTTAATATTCGTTTTTGTAAATGGAACATTTTTCTTATCCAAATTTTTTTACAAATAATACAAAAAAAAAAAATATTACATACAAAAAAAGTATACCGTTCATTCTAATATTTTTATATTTAAAAATATTATATTTATGATTCATATATAAATTAAAATATAAATTTAAAAAAAACTAATAAACTCTTTTGATAAATTATTATTTTTTCTGTATTATGTTCTTATTATATTTTTTAAACAAAAACACACAGTGTCATTAAAAAAAAGAAAAATTACTTGTCACCAATGAATAAAATACTCTAGATAAATATTTCAAAAACAAAACTAAGTTTGCTTTAAATCAAATGACAATACAAATCAATGAAAATTTCATATACTCATAACAAGAAATTTGCACAAAGATAATTAGACGATGATATCATAGAACTAGATCCAAATGCCATAATGATATAACAAGTATAAAGTTTTATTGATATGATAATAAGGCATACATGAGAACAATGCTATAACAACACAACATAAGCAACATGCAATAATTCAAATGCGTTTAAAGGAAGTGAGGTTCCTCAAGTACTCAAATGGCTGTTCCAACACAACAGCTTCATAGTTGTTAGAAGATGAACCGCTTTTGGCAGAAAGAGTGAGACGGTAGTAGGTTTTAATGACAACCTGTGATTTATCCTTGATAACCTGTGATTCACCCTTGATAAGTTTCTCAAACTCCAATGTTTCTCCCTTTTGCTTGTTGTACTGGATTACTGCGAAATTGGCAGTTGAAATCACGTAAGGATCACTTATGTTTTCTATGGGACTCCAATCATCTGATATAACTTGATTGATGGTGGAAGAAGCCAACAAAATAAGAAAGAGAAGAACAAAGGATTCAAATCTCATGATGATGGTTTGGTATTTTTCAAGCTCGAAAAATTAAGATGGTGTGAGTTAGAATTTGTGGACAGGTTGGTTATATATATCCAAGTTATATAGAGATATCATATTTTTTATATTTATTAAAAAATTAATGTATCTGAATCATATATATTAATTATTTAATAAATTTAAAAATTAATTTGTTTTTAATAAAAAGAAATAGAGATATTAATATATAATATTAAATAAACCTACCATTAATTTTATAGAAAAATATTTAAAAAGAATTATATTTAATGTCATTTTAGGAAAATATAATCAAAAATATTTTTAATTATGTTATTTATATATAAAGAGAATACGCACTTTTGGACTAGCCTATTTTTGTTTCATTTTAAAAAATTGTGTGGTTCAGTAACTTCCTCATTTTTTATTGTAAACTAATTCTCCATTTCTTTCACTTATAAATTAATTCCTAAATATTTTTCTGCAATTTTCTTTATATCACTTAGTTGCTGAAGATGTTATATTAAAAATTTAAAAACAACAACTTTAGCAATGTAAATTATCTTTCTTTTAATCTATATTACATCATATAAACAACATGATGCAGTGGGAAGTAGAAATATATGCTTAATTGTTGCTTTAAAATCAACCAAATATCAAGTACATCCATTAATTTGATAAGAATCTATTTTCTAGTTTAAAAAAATAATGTATCTTGATTATATATAGATCATATCATTAATCTAATGAATTTAAAAATTAAATTGTCTTTTATGAAAAGAAATGGAGATATTCATATATAATATCAAATAAACCTACCATTAGTTTTATAGAAAAATATTTAAAAAGCATTATATTTAATGTCATTTTAGGAAAATGTAGTCAAAAGTATTATAAATTATGTTATTCAAAATAATGTCATGACATTTTTCCGTATTTCTTAAAATTTATTTATAACAAATTTTTGTTTAATAGGTTATTCCATATTTTTTAATATTATTTTAATAAACTATAAACTTTTTTTTTTCCAAATTGTTAGTATTAACTATAAATATTTGTCATATATATTTTATAATATTTAACATCCACTTTGTTTGATTCAATAAACTATCTATTTCATGTTTAATTTAATACTTATTAGTGATAAACTATTTGATTTGTTCCTTTTAATGTATTAATAAATATTATATGTTTTCACTGATAATTTTAAATAAAATGAAATAAATATTTATCACTTAAAATAAAAATACATATTCAATATTTATTATTGATAGTTAAAAAAAACACGAGACAAATATTTATCATGTGTAAGACAATAATTTATGTAAACATAAGAGAATATATATTTTTTTTGTGAGTAAGAAATTATATAAAAAGAATATTAGGGGTATTCTAACCCTTCTTACAAGATAGAAACCCTCTAAAATAACGAGAAAATAGAGAATTCAGACCAACTGAAACTAAGACATACAAGTTAAAGGAGCTTGACAAAACTCGAAAAAAATTATAGTTGGGATGATAATTTTCTCTTACAAAAGAACAGTTTCAAGCCGTTAACTTAATGTCCCAAAAGAGATATAAAACTATACAAAAAGCTCCATTAAATAAAATAACATTTCTAATCTTCTAGAGATTCCAAATCAGCACCATCCAAACAATACCTACATTCCATTTCTTCAACAATTTGAACTTCTCAGCACTAACCCAATTCGAGAAACTCTTCCACACTACAGACTCATTCATCCACTCTATCCCAAGCCAATCAACCACCTTCTTCCAAATAACCTTCGCCGCCCTACAATTGAAGAAGAAGTTGCTCAAATCTTCTTCAACATGGAAACACATAACCTACAGAAGATCATGAAGAAAATGAAGAATACCTCTTCGAACAAGTTGATCCTTCGTCAAGATCGTGTTAATAAAACACCTTCAAACAAAGGTTCTGACTTTGAAAGGAGAGCTAGTTATTCAAACAAAATAAAAAGCCCCCTTCAAGGCGACAACGATGTCGTCAAAGACCCTAAGCTCTTCCAAAACAGTATAGCTAGATTTAACTAAGTATTATGCCTTCGATTCAGGTTTTCAAATGGCCAAATCTAAAGCTCGCACCGTTGGAACTCCTTTAACCAACACCTTCAGAAGTTGGCTCAGATTACCAACTGAACAAAAAGCTTCCTACTCCGAAAAACCAAAAATCACCTCAAACCCAATTACCTTCTGTCTAATAACTCATATCACATATTAGATCTCCTTTAAGATTACTAATCGAGTACAAGTCAGGTAAAATAACCTTTAAATGGGTTTCCACACATCTAATTATCAGACCAAAAGGAAATAGATGATTTGTTACCAACTCTAAAATTAAAATTGTTGGAAAAAGAGAAAGATGAACCTACCTTATAATTATTAGATAATAATAAATCCTTCCCCCAGGTAGAACAATTATTCTTTGTTCCCTCACTTATCCGAACCAAGACTGCTTTCTTTAAGTCCACATATCTAGCCTTAAGAATGTCCGAACAAAAAGTCTCTTTCTCCATTAATATCCCCCATTTCCATTTCAACATTGTTGCACCCCAAAATTTGACCAACATTAATTTACCTATCAAGTGTTTGAAAGTGGATACCTTCACCAGAAAGTTCAAGAGATCCTCAGAAGAATTGGTTGGAACCAAGGTTGTGTGCTTCATAGCTTGAGAGTTGTGGGTGCTCCTCAGGTGATTCTGAGACTGTGAGAATGAACTTGATGTTTTGAGAAAGCCTATGAGATGTCTTGATAGCCATAATGAAGTCCATAGAAGTCATTATGCAAGGATTCAGAAGATTCAACCATGAATGGTAGAACTAGGGTTTTGACTGGGTCGACCCTAGGATAACTGAAGATTTGGAGAAGGTTGAGACCTAATCCAAGGGCCATGAGATCATGGAATGATGCATGGACATGTTATAAAGATGATTCCTAGACCAACTCATCATGATTGAGGAGTTTGAGAAGTTTTGAGTTAGGGTTTCTGAGGATTGTCAGTGAAAAAACCCTAGTTTGATCCCTATCTTCCAGGCAGTTTTAGCTCAAGATGTGATTGATATCTCATCTTCCCCACAACATGAATGTTGTAGAGATTGTTCTTAGCTTTAATTTGAGTGGTGGAAGTCCTTGATAGGAGTTGCAGAGCTCAAGTTATGGTTTTGACAAATTACAGGTCAGCAAAGGTGTGTGAATCTGGGTCCTTGAAAGTCACCCAACTTGCAGACAACTTTTTCCCTAGTAGGATGATTCCTATGATCTCTTGGTCAACATGAATGTTGAAGAGAATCTTCTTAGCTTTCTAGAGAGTACTATAAGTCCTTGATAGGATTTGTAGAACTCAACTTATGGTTTGAACAAGACAGGGGTATTTTGGTCATTTGGCAGTTATAGGTCATTTTAAGCAAAGGCCATATCTCCTATTTCCAAGCCTCAAATGGAAAAAATCAAAACATGAAAGTTGTTCAAAATGGCATTTTAAGCCTAGAAAAGAGGTCATTAATTGTTGGGAAAGCTCATAGCATGAAATGACAAAGTTTGGTAAATTTGAACTAAAAAAGGCATATAAGTTAATTCAAGTCAAGTTGAAATTTGGTTTGGGAGATCTATGAGTCCAAAATAGGTCATCCAATATACCATTTTGAATGTAAATGGCATTCTAAAAACTTTGGTTTAAATAGAATTTTGATTTGAGGCTCAAAAATGAAGGTTGCTTTGGAAAATTGTTACTTGAATCATAAGGTAACTAAACAATACTTCACAAAAAGCAAGGAAGTGCATGTTTTTCACTCATTCTTTCTCAATATCTCTTGTAAGGAGATTATGAAGCCAATTTGACAAGCCTAACTCATGAGATATGGTATGATCAACATGTCATTAAAGGAGAAATTCTATAACTTTCTAACACTTTCCATGAGTTTCTAGATGATTCTAGGAGTTTCCATGGATGGCTATAAGAAGAGTGAATCACAATTTGGCCAGGGTTGGTGAAAGTGGCTGTGTTCATTGGAGAGAGTGAGAGAGAAAGTGCCATTGTTGGATTTCTTCAAGATCAAGCAAGATTCAATTCCTTCTTCTACAAGCTTCATCCACCTCAACTCTTGCAAACAGAAAGGTGTTCATTATTGGAGGAAGATTTGGAGAGGAATTCAAGTGCTGAATCAAGTCCTAACACCCCTCACCATTGGAGTTTGACAGGTTGGTATTTTGATCTGTAGGTCCCTAATTATGTACATTCTGTTAGAATCTAGGGTGTAAGATCAACATGCTAGGTTAGAGGAATGTTTTCTGAGAATTAGAGGAAGATTCATGAGGTTTCGTGGCAGGGTACCATTTTTTGCAAGATTGATAGCAAGCTGGTTAGTGTGTATTAATGGATATGATGTGGTTTAGAATGGCTAGGATAACATGTGGAACAGATTTACATCATTAGATTGAAGCTTGGTTAAGGTTGATAGCAGAGAACCATGGTGGAACCCTAACACTCGTGCATTCTGTTAGAACAATACAAGAGGTTTCAGGGAAGACTATTGGTATCATTGTGTTCTGGGTGATTAGTAGAGCAAGTTTGCTTTTGGAAGCTCGTGGATTCATGGAGAAATGGAGGAGAACGATCGAGTGGAAATCCTTGCGTGAAGTTAGGGTTTCTGAAAACCCTAGGGTTGAGTTGGAGAAGATGATCTCTCCATCGTTGGATTGTCCATAATATTTGACTAATTCAGTTAATCGCACGACCAAGATTTAATTCTGAAAAGGGGAGGGAAATTCCAGCTTCAAAACGCTGCGTTTGGATTAGTTATGAACCATGGGCCTCAGAAACCAATGCTATCCACACCTCCAACATGGGCCCAATCAACTTTTGAACTGAATTTGGATGCTATTTGCACCGTGGGCGTTTTATTTTCTTTTCAATTTTTCTGTTGATTTTCTGAGTACGTATGGGCTTACCAAGATTTATATCCGCACCTCCCAGGTTTTCAGCCCAATCATAAAT